TGGCAGGCAGTGCCGCTGGGCTAGAAGCCCTCCAGCCCCCCGTAGGGCCCATTGTCAGCCGCGTTCCGAAGCCGAGGTGCTGGGAAGAGGGTTTGACGGGGTGAAGGTGGTGGGAGCTCACAAGCTGTGCTTCAGGCGTCACTCACTTGTGTTTCCCTCCTCCCAAAGGTAGCGGGGATTCCTCGCTGGAGAAGGAGTTCAGCTCAGCGATCGTGGGACCCACGGTGAGCACACCCAACAGCCAGCACTCCTCCCCAAGCCGCTCGCTCAGCGGTGAGTACGGGAAGAGGGTTTGACGGGGTGAAGGTGGTGGGAGCTCACAAGCTGTGCTTCAGGCGTCACTCACTTGTGTTTCCCTCCTCCCAAAGGTAGCGGGGATTCCTCGCTGGAGAAGGAGTTCAGCTCAGCGATCGTGGGACCCACGGTGAGCACACCCAACAGCCAGCACTCCTCCCCAAGCCGCTCGCTCAGCGGTGAGTACGCCGAGAAAAGCCTCGCCAGCGGCTGCCTGTTTTGTCCCCAAACCCCGCACTCTCTCAGGCGTGACATAAATTCTCACTTCCCGCTGTGACAGATTTCTCTCTGAGTCTGACTCTTTGTTTCCCAACCCAAGAGGATAAATCCCTGCTTTGGTCTCTGCGGAGCAGCTGACCGGTGACCGATCCTGGGCCCCGGCTAGTGCTGAGCCTGGCGATCTCAGACCGGCCGTGGCGATGCCGAGGACTGGGGGGCTCGCTCTTCTCCGCTTCCTCTCGTGTAGGAGCTGGGGCAGGTTGGAGTCCGCGGCGTGTGCAGCAGTTCAGGGACAGCAGGACTCTGCAGGGCAGTTTTGTGTGGCTGTGGGGGGTTCGGAGAGCCCCCAGCTGTTGGGGTGCACCGGGGTTGCCGCGGGGCGATGAAGCTCGCCCCCGCGTCCCAGCCATCGCCTGCCAGTGCCCGGTCTGTGCCGTTTTGTTCAGGCACCGGCTTTGCCGTCGTGTCTCTCTGTCTTTTCCGCCTGCTGCCCCCCACCCAAGCAATGACCAGAGGAGGGAGAGGCAGCTCCTCGGGAAGCTCGTTTGCTGCCAGCCCTGGTCACCTGGTAGAGCGGGCACGTGTGCAGTGCTATCGGCCGAACTGGCACCTGACAGGGATCCACACACGGGACCAGTGTGGGGAATCTCCCGTCCGCAGCACAGAACTTTCCTTCTCCCTCCCTGTCCACTGACGGAATTATTTGCTTTTTATTTAAAATGAATGAAAGCGCTTTTTACGCGGTCGGTCTTTAAGAACCTCCCCAGGAGAACAGTCTGATTTCCGTGCCGCTGTTTACGTCGCAGCCTTCTTGGGGCAGCAGTCGAGTTTCCACAGGCACCACTGAGTCGTGTTGACGCATGGAAAGAAGGTGCCCTGAGACAAGATACGTTGGCGAGTCCTGCTCTGAATCGTGCTCTCGGTGTTCAGGAGCCGACAGTTGGGTCGTCTCTACCGGATTGACTCAGCCGACGCCGAAAAGCCCGGCGCTGCTCTGATCTTCCCTCTCGAGCTGCTTTTCCGTAGAAGAGAAACTCCCCTGTAATTTATCCGCGTGGGCTTCCAGCAGCGAGCGATTGGGACGCCCCTGGTCAGGTCGTCGCGTTTGACGGTTGCTCTTTCTGAACCAGGATAAAATAAACCCAAACCATGGAGTTTTCAGAAGGGGCGATGTTATGAATTAGCTCTGTTGCCATTTTTTCCTTTTATTGCTTGCTATTTATTTTGTATTTGCCCTATAAAACCGCTCAGAACCTCTGCAAAGAAATAAAATCTTGGCTCTTTCGCAGAGGCCGGCTCTGGGAGGTAACGCAGCCTTTTCGCTTGATCAGAAGCAAAAAGGAGCTGAGCACGTGGGCTGACTGAGAGGACAATAACGATCCCTTCCCCTCCAACAACAGGGCGCGGGTGATGGTATTGCCTCTGATCTGACTTGACTTCACAGCTGGTTCATCCAGCCAGCGTCGTGCCCCAGAGGAGCGAGAATATTATATAACCTGTTCTGCCAGCAGAGTCTTCTCTCCAGTGAGACCGGACTCTGCATTGGTTCTGAAAGGAGAATTACAGAACAATAGTTGGCCTCCCTTCTATGCCCAGGAAAAAAAATAAGTCCCCAGGGGAATGGAAGGGGGAAAAAAAAAAAAAAACCAAACCCAACAAGAAAAATCAAAGTGCAGCAAATGTCAACTCATCCAGGCAGCTCCCGCCACCGCAAGAGGAGCTTTTCACTTCGTGTTTGTGCACAGAGGCGTCTGTTTGCGCTGGGTCTCCTGGATGCTCCCAGGGGAGCACGGTGGCACCGGCCCACACGTCAATAAAAGTTCTGCTCCCCCCGCAAGAATGCTCCAGCCGCAGCGTCTCCTCCTGGTCTGCAGCCGGCGGTGGCGTTGGCCAGTGGCTCCGCAGACGCTCTGAAAGTGGCGGCGATTGCCAAGGCCGGGTGTAAGCGCAGTTCACGTTGCCCGGAACCTCTCGGGGAAGGCAGCATTGTCTGACGCCAGCATCCAGGAAGGGAAGGAGGTGAGCCAGCGCCAGGATTCCTGGGCTCTTCACCCGGCGATAAACCTCACGCAGCCTGGGATGAATCCCTTCCGTGCTGTTGCTCCGCATTAATCCCCGCTCGCGAGGCTGTACCTGGCTCCGGGGCAGAGCCCGAGCCCCCTGCCTGCCCTGTCCCGCGTGGCCGGGCTTCCCCAGGGTCTCCCCAGGACTGGGACCGTCCTGCTGCTGCCGTCTACAGCGTTTGCACGTCCTCCTCGCCCGGTAAGCGACCTGACGCCTTCCTGCTCAGACCGTCCCTGCCTCAGCCCGTGGCAGAGCGTGTTCAGAACCCCCCAGGCGTCACCCGTCAGATCCTCCGGATGGTTCGGTGCCTGGGACGTTACCCGGGTTTTCTCGGATCTGCTCGGCTGTGCCACAGGCGTCCCCGGCCTGAGGGTGAGCGTTCGCGCTCTCACAAAGGGCTGAATGAGCCCCAAGGGTCGAGTCAGCACCAGATCTGGAAGCTGCTGGGATTTCTGTGTGGTTGCACTGGGGCTGCTCCGTTCTCACGCCTGGCTCCACAAGGCAGCTTGGACGCTGCAATCTCCTGCCCTCCGGGCAGCAGCAGCCGCTCCTTTGTGTATATAAAGTTCAGTTTCCTCCAGCCCCCACAGTTCTCCTCTTAAGGGATTGGGAAGAACCTCCTGCTTTAAATGGAAGAAATAAGAATCCGATATTTAAAGGGGATTCTGTAAATATTTTGTTGAAGCTCAGCGCACGGCCATGTGGGTGACCTGGATTCAACTTGACTCCATCGTCATCTTCCTCCGGCCAGCTGGGACCAGTCCAGTTACCGGCTGCCATCAGCAGGAGAGCGCCGGGGACCCTCCCCAGGGGATTCCCTCTTGCTCCTGGCTGCTGGCGATGGCTTAAAGTGGGAGGAAACTTTCCAGTTTGATCGTTTGAAGGCTGGCTCTCCAAACAGGCGACTTTTCCCCCAGGCTGAGTGTCCCAGCCTCGAGCAGAGGGTGCAGCCGGCATCGCGAGGTGGGACGACCGCTTGGACACTTGGCCGAGGGCGGGATCATGCAGGACCTGGGAGGACGAGTTCATCTGGAGGTGGCGGATGGAGGAGAGGGCGAAGTTTCCCCATCTGTCCCTCTCCCGGTCCCCGCAGGGCTGTGGTGCGCTGGCAGTGAAGGGAGCGGAGCGGTCGCCGTCGTCCTCTCGGGGAGTGTTTGATTTGTGGCATTCCACAGATCATTAGAGCAGCCGGGAATGTAGGTCAGGGCTGGCACATCCCCGCCAGCCTGCGC